TTGTAATTTTATCGAGTACATACTACGTGGTTTTGTTTCAGGTATTTTAAACCCTTCTAGGATTTTCATATAAATATCACTATCTAGTGATCCATATAAATATACTGTAACCACGTCCATTAGATGCATATGTAATCTTTCTATGATTGCCAAATGTATTGTGAATCTAAATGTGGGTGCATCAATCACAGGGGAGTATGTTTCCTCATAATCAATACAAGGTCTCTGTGAGAAACCTTGAGCTACCAATTGGGCTTTGTATTTTATGATTTCATTTTTCTCATTACGTTTTTGTACAAATACCCATTTATACCCAACAGGCTTAACACCCTCAAGTGTTTAGACTACAGGTCCAAATACTTCACATTTAGCTAATGAATTTAGCTCTGCTTATATCGCTACTTTCCATTTTGGCCAATCATTTCTTCGTCGACATTCTTCGACGTTTTGAGGTTCCGGATCCTCATTATCAATATCAAGAGTAACGACATATGAGAATATGTTATCGACAACAATTTCATTTCTATTCCATCTCATTCCATGATTTAATGAGATCTCATCATTTTTAGATATCTTTACCTCATCAAGGACATGTGCCTTATCAAGGGCCATATCATCATCTATTGCATTTGCCTCATCAATATTTATTATTTCATCATTTTTAGGTACCTGGGCCTCATCAAGAGCCTTTACCTTATTAAAGATTATAATCTCAGATTGATCAATAATATTTGTTGATATTTTTGTGGCCTTTTCAGGAATGCCAATTTTTCTTTGTGATTTATTTTTACGAGGAGTAGTATCTTTTGCACCGACTGGTTTGCCACGCTTCAGGCGTGTTATAGATGCATTTGTTGCATTCTGACAGAAGGTCCCTCAATGACAGCAATTCGTGCTGGAACATTTGCAGCTGGTATATGTGATTTATTACTTTCTTTGTATTAGAAAATGCATCAGGTAATTGATTTGCAATATTTTGCAAGTGAATAATCCTCTGAACTTCTCTTTCACATTGATTTGTGCGAGGATCAAAATGAAACAATTTCAGGTCATTAGAAGTAATGTCATGTTGCTGTTGTACCTTTTCTCCCCCTAATGGTGGAAAAACAACATCATCAAAATGACAGTCAGCAAATTATGCTTTAAAGACATCACCTGTCAGGGGTTCAAGAAATCTAATAATAGATGAAGAATTAAAACCAACATAAATTTCAAGTCTACGTTGATGACCAATTTTAGTGCGTTGGAGTGGTGCAATTGGAACATATACAGCACAGCCAAAAACTCATATGTGAGAGATATTTGATTGTTGACCAAAAACAAGTTGTAATGGTGAAAACTTATGAAAAATAGTAAGTCATATACGGACTAATGATGTAGCATGTAATATGGCATGTCCCCAGGCAAAAACAGGTAATTTTGTTCGCATAAGCAAATGACGACCAATTAACCGAAGCCTTTTAATAAAAGATTCCGCCATACCATTTTGAGTATGAGTGTGTGCGACAGGATCTTTAACATTAATTCTAACTAACATGCAATAGTCATCAAAAGCTTGAGAAGAAAATTCAACGGCATTATCAAGACAAATTGTCTTAATTAGGTAATCAGGAAAGTGTGCCCGTAAGTTGATGATTTGAGCAAAAAGTCTAGCAAATGCAATATTACGAGTAGAAATGAGACAAACATGTGACCATTGTGTTGAGACATCAATTAAGACCATAAAATAGCGAAATGGTCCACAGGGTGGATGAATTGGCCCACATATATTCCCGTGAATTCGTTATAAAAATGGGAAAGATTCGACAATGACTTTTGAAGGGGATAGTCTAATAATCAACTTACTTTGTGAGCAGGTGGTGTATAGATGATTATTTGGTAAAATAAATTTTTTTTTTTTTTTTTTTTTTTTATCTTTTAGTGAGTGTCCGTGTGAATTTTCAATAATTTGACGCATCATTGTACTTCCCGGGTGACTAAGTCGATCATGCCAAAGTATAAAAAGTTTTGAGTCACAAGATTTTTTATGTATCATAGCATTTGACTCAATTGTCCTAATGGTTGTATAGTATAACCCAGAACAGAAAATGGGGAGTTTTTCTAATATCAGAGTCTTGTATGAGGTAATGGAAGTAATATAAAAATATTCTACATTTTTTTCATTTGCGGTCTCAATATGATACCTATTACGACGCAAGCCTTTAAAACTCAACAGATTTGTTCAAGATCTTGTAGAATATAAGGCATCATTAATTTGTAATCTTGTTCCACGTGGTAAAATAATGTTGGCTCGTTCAGAGCCTTCAATCCAGTCGGTGGGATCTGATATTGTACTGACACTAGCATCTGTCAAAGTTAGTTCAGAAAAATATTTTTGATCTCGAAGGATTGTGTGTGTTGTTCCACTATCAGCAAAACATATATCTTCACCATTTATTTTAGGACCAGTTAGATCCATTCTTATTCTTGCAAATTTAGAAAAGAAACAATTATAACAAAATAAACTTTAATACAAGGAAATTAAAAATATGTTGATGATAAAATAGTAGAAAGAACATGAAATGAAAAATATGATTAATTGGTGTGGACATTTCCCTCATCAATCAGGTGGTCTATCTTTCCATCACGGTCCTCAAAAAATTTGATACATCCAGATTTGTGATGTCAACTGGCTCATCATGATCAATGAAATTCATTTCATTCCGTTTCCCCTTTTCTTTCATTGGGGCTTGATAAAGTTCAGTCAGATACTTAAGTATACGACAAATGCTTTGCCAATGCCCTATTATTCGATAACAAGTATTATCATGTGCTATGGAAGGTTGAACCACATCATTCCCTTTTATTTGTTTCATTATAATATCCCATTTGAGGATATGGTGTGGATCTCTGATTGCGAAAATTTGAGGATTAATATGCTTCACGGTAATAAGAATGATTTTTACCACAACCATATTCATTATTGTAGCCATTTCTACCACCACGATTATGTCTATTATTATGTCCACGTTCACGTGATAAGGCAACATATGTTTCAGGGATCGGTGTCGATCCAGTTGGACGGGACTGGTGATTTCTTAACAAAAGCTCGTTATTTTGCTCTGCCATAAGTAAATATGATATCAGCTCTAAATATTTTTCAAATCTACGCTCTCAATATAAGAGTACATTCGAGGCGTGAAATGTGGTGAATATTTTTTCCAACAAAAATTCATCAGTGATGGTATCACCACACAATTTCAGTGTAGAACTGATTTTAAATAGGGCAGAATTATATTCAGTCACAATATTTAAAATCTTGCAACCGCAGTTGCTGCCAATCAGCCCGAGCTTTTGGGAGGATAACTGTTTTTTGATGATTATATCTTTCTTTCAAATTTTTCCACAAACACAGTGGATCTCTTTCAGTAAGGTATTTAGTTTTTAGCTCCTCACTAGTATGACGCTGAAGGAAAATCATGGCATTCGTTTTATCTTGTAATGATGCATCATTCTCTTCTTTAATTGTGTTTCCGAGGCTCATGGCATCTAAATGGATCTGAACATCCAGAATCCAAGATAAATAATTTTTGCCAGAAATATCTAAGGCCACGAATTCCAGCTTTGTCAAGTTTGACATTTTCAGAATAACTAGATGTGACAACAATATAAAAATATAATTTAGCATAGTATATAAATAAATAAAATAGTATTAAGTGAAACAATAATATAATATGAATTATTTAAATAACAAAGGTGGTAAAACCAACCATAGTGAATAAATTATTAAACAATAAAGACGATAAAAATTGGTCATAAATCATTAAATAATAAAGGTAGTAAAACTGACCATAATTAGTAGATCATTAAATAATAAAGGTGGTAGAACTGACCAGAGTGTGAGCACATATATCATTTAAGTAGACAAATTAATTCATGAACAATAATCAATAATTTAGATACTTTTACCCTTCGGAATCAGGAATACAATTTTCTTTAGTAAAGCAAACAAACCCAGCAATCTATCAAAACTAATTTCACCAAAGAGATATACAGTTGAAATAGAAAGAGGGAGAGAAAACTTCTTGTTCAAATCTCAGATGACTAGAGTTCGTGTTGATAACGTGTAATAAATATATGTATTACAATATATGACAAATATGAAAGATGAGAGAGATGTAAGATATGAGAGAGAGTGCTGAGAGAGAGATAATTTTATTCATTTTTCACACCTCAATTGTGTACACATGGTATCAATTTATAGCCTCCAAAATGTGGGCACCAAGCAGCTTCTTCAACAAGATGCTCAGTTATTCAAAATGTGTTAATTACAAGTGGACCCCACCCAAAATACATACATATATATATATATATATATATATATATATATAACAAATAGGCATAATTTTTCCTCCCTTTTTTAAGAAAATATAATAAGAAGGTGTTTGTCATCTCTTACCAAAAAACTTAAATTGTTAGGTAATACTTGCCCCCTTACACAAAACTTAACCTATTAGCCTATGTATACCAAAAAAAAAAAAAAAATTCTTTCATTATTGTCCTTATTGAGGTCGTATTACTTTGCCTATTCAGTCTGAATTCAGGCACCTTCTGAGTGGGTACGTCGCTTGACATGATATCAAATCAAAAATTGAATTTAACTCTAGTATTAACTGTAACGAATTAAACGCATATTCATTAACCTAAAAGGTTATATTATTTAATAGTGCGAGCTGCATACGTGCCATGTGAGGGAAGACCATGTAATAATAAACCTATTAATCTTGCATTGTCCTTCCATCCAATTTCTCTAAAATGGATAACCATATCACTAATCTTATGTGGTATGCTAAAACTTTTAAGATAAAATAACCTGGTGAAAGTGCATGTACTTAATCAATAAATTTTTATAACATATATATATTTGTTTTTTTGGCTCATGCAAATAAAATAACAAGAGTCTCTCTTAAAACGCATGAACTTTAATATCCACACACACACACACAAATATAGCCGCTATGGCATTGAAGTTGTTGAACCCATGCATATCAACTTTCATGGGAAACAATAGGGCCACAGTTCCCATAAATAGTCATTAATTAACTACCACTATTTAGAAAATTAAGAAGCACTCATCATGGAGGATGTTTGCCTCTCTCTTGGGAAACTAAGTTTTACATTTAATACACACCTTACTTAAATTCCATAAGCAAAGAGAGGTCAGTGATTTAAGGTCACCAAATTAGTTATGCTTAAAATAACCCTCATAATTAAATGCTATGGAAACCCAATTTTGCCCCCACATCAAATGATAACGTGTAGCTTTTTTGTAAGGACAGTTTTGTCTTTTTACCATTAATACTGGCCCCCAAAACCAAATCTTCAGGAATTGCTGTGCAGAGCCTCACACATTCACAGCACTACTTCTCCTGCTAACTGCTTTCAGCTGCCCGCCCTTATGGATGCCAAAGAAGATATTTCAGACTGTAGAACTGCATCAATATATTATATATATAGTATAGATGTAACTTTCCAATTACGAATAATGATTTTCACAATTAAAGGAAAAAAAAAAAGAAAACGTTTGAATATATCCAACAATTGAGAATATATTCTCTTCTTTGAAACTGCATAACACCTTGATTACAAAAGAAGTAGGTTGCAATAAAGTTCGAATTCTCTATGTCCACCTCTTTTTCTTGGTATATATGTTCTTCATCTCTCTAATCTTTTTTGTGACTTTAACTTTACAAATTGTATCTGAAGGTCTTAGAACAATCCCACCAACTGAAGATCTCAAGCAGAACACACACACACACACATATATATGAGAATAATCCACCGGAAAAAATGGAAAATGACAAAATAGATAATAATTATAAATAATAAAAAAAAAAACATATATTATTGCTAAAAGCACCATTATCACGAAATACATATACTAGTCTCTCATTTTACATGAAATTTAATTTCTTACCATATAATTAAACATGAGTAACAGTATAATGATACTATTCTGTGTCATGATCTCTCCGAGCTTTCTTGATCTTGCGTCCTATGTCATCTTGAACAATTGGAGGGAACATGGATTCAACCTCTTTTGACAGATCTAGCTGGAGATTCCGGCGAAGCCTCGGCAACATTTTCCTCTTTGCCGACGACGTAAATGTCCTGATCTTTCTCGGGGCCGGCGGGCACTGTGTGATCACTGGGATTTTGTGATCCAGAGATGTTGGAGTTCTGAACCCATTATTGTGGTCATCTTCGTCCACTGTTGCGTCCAATTCACCTAACGACGGCGTTTTGAGCTCAGTAGAAAAAGAGGATGTGGCCTCATGATGTCTCTCTTCTTTCTTATCATCATCATCATCTTTGTGCAGATCTTGTTGAAGATGATGATTGTTTGAGGGTGTGACTTGACACCCATCTGGTGAATTTGAGGTGGGTCTTGAGAAAAGTTGGAATTCGATCTTTTTTTGATCTTCTTTGACGATGAACAAATCCGAATTTGACATACCCAGAAAGGAAAACTTGGTGAACTCGTAATACATGAAGCTAAAATGGCAAGAGAGAGAAAGAGGGGGGTATGGGGAAGCTGAGAAGTGAGAAAAAGGGTGGGTGGTTTATAGATGATGTCCTACATGGAATATAATCATCAAATCACCATCTTTGCTGTTTCTTTAGTGATTTCTCTCAGCTTCTTTGGATTTCTGGTTTTTCTTTTCCACACTTTTAGAGAGAGAGAGAGAGTAACGTGTTTATGGAAGCTTATAAAGAGAGAGAGAAAGAGAGAGATTGAGATAGTTTAAGTGCATCGGATCCTTCGGCACGGAGGGTTGAAAGACTCCACCCTTCACTAACTGATTTCTCTCTCTCTCTACGAATATACATATTTTAGACATTAAATGTGTGTGTGTGTGTGTGTGTGTATATAGCTAATGTGTTTGAGCATTTAGCTTTTCTTAATTTTCTGATCTCTACGAACTTTGATGCATCTATGCACGTGGTTTTGCTATATGGGGACCATTTCTGATGTGAAATTCTCCTTTCCCTTTTCTCACGATATCACCATCTTTACTCATTTCTCAGATGCTTTATTTCTCTTGCAAGAAAGCACAACTGTGATATATATATATATATATATGCACACACTGACACACACATACATAATAGTCTACCAAAAAACAAAAAACCTATCAAGTGGGTATTACTCTTTTTTTAATTCCTCATTATTATAATTTACATTTATTTTATCACCTTAAATCTACTATGTATAGACATTTCAAGAGTGAGTTATTAAATTGAAAATAAGGGGATGTTGGTAGCGTGTGTAATGTGTGTGTGGATATGGGTCAGTTATCTTTGAAATATTGGTCTTTAAAATTGCATTAATTAGAGAGCAAATGACTTTGTGTTTTGACTTAACAGTTAACCACGATTGTACATGTTTCAGAGTCAAAACGGGGAAATTGGGCAAACATGGAATCCTATCTAGACTGCGTAACGCATACGAAAGACTTGGATCACATTCACATCTAACAAAAAATAATGACTAATTAAATTAAACTAAATTAACAAGCATCTTTTTGTTTATATTCCGTGGCAAAGTCAGCAATTTAGTTCAGTAAAATAAATTATTTTTTTCTAAATAAAAATAGTACATGCGAAAAAAATAATTATTTTTAATAATTTTTCAAATTCTGGAAATATTGTATGATAATCTCACATACTTAAAAAAAAGTGAAATTAGTTGAAGGTTCGAATTCTTACTAGAGCAAAAAGTGGTCTAAGTTATTTGCTAGAAAAAAAAAAAAATAAAAAAATAAATAATCCCTAATTAAACACAATAGCTTCTTCTTATATTTTTTTTATTGCCATAATTGCTTGTGAGGGCTGAGAGGTCTAATCATAAACTGAAATCAAAGTTTTCAACATGTCAACATTGGGTTTGTTTGAAAACGTTAATTGCGGCCATATGGCGGCAACAAGTTTGGACATGACAAAATTAAGAATCATGGTAAAGATTGGCTATATATACGCACACACGTGTGTGAACTTGCTTCAAAGGGTATTATTGGGTATATATATGTTCTATATTTCTTTTAGTCTTTGAGGCTAGAGTTTTGTTCGAGTAAACTATTGTTTTTGATAAAAAGAGTGGAGCGCCGCCTGAGTACATTATTGGCTCTCCACTATTATCCTACTAAAGCACTCCATTCCTTTTCTGTTTTTAAAATTAAATTACAAAAGAATCCCTACCATATCTAATGTTTAATTTTTATATTTATAATGCCATAGTTATCCTTTTTTATAAAGTAAGAACTCTTTCAATTCTTTTATTATTATTATTATTAAGAATTTCAATTCTTTTATTATTATTATTATTATTATTATTATTATTATTATTATTAAGAATTTCAATTCATTTGAGTTTTATTTCAAGTTGCATCTCCTCTCTTGAACTCTGTTAGGATTCATCATGTTCTCTCTCATATATTTATATTTTGATTTTCAATTCAATTAAATGTTGTTTCTATAATGTGATAAGTTTTACTTATTTATATAAAAGTTTATTTCCAACTTAAATACTTCTTATATTTAACAATAAGTTACTTGTAAAGAAAGTTGTCCAAATTTTGAGAAGTCTTGAACATTTCAAGGGTGATGTTTCCATTGGGATTGTAGGCAGCCCATATCCATGCTCACAGAGAAAAAGGTAAAGCAAATAAATAAATTAAGTACGAGTAAAAATAGAACTGTTGGTTGAGGGCTTTTTTCAAGAAGTATAATAGAATAGTAAGAATATTTATAGAAATTTTCAAGTTACATCAGGGATTGTATCTATTATTCTCCCCGTAGAATCCAATGTTAAAATTCAGTTTTAAAGTAAATATTGATAGAATAATATTAATTGCAAGGAGATTGGTAAAATTCATCAAAGAATAAATAGTGTTAAACACTAATTGATTCTAGAGGGGTAAATAGAGTCAATGGCCAATTTTTTAAATTTGCAACTTTAACTTCTAATTAACAATCATTCAATAATCAATTAAGGTAGATAAACAATTCAAAACATAAATATAAGAGAGATAAGAATAAGAAATTGAAAACAATGATTCGGAGATTTTAGTAAGGTTCAGAAACTCTTACTTCTCGGCTCAAGATCCCTCTTAAGATTTTTCAATCCATTAAAGCTTCTCCTTAATGGTGGAGAGCAAACCTTCACATGAAGTAAGCCCTTGCTTCTCTTTCTTGCTAGGAGAACACCCTTTTCCTATGCTTCTTTTGGGTCACACCAACCCTTACAAGTTTGTAGCAATGTTTGTAATTGAAATACAAGATTGAATCTCTCTCAAGATAGATGCACAAGTGTAAGCTCACAACTAGAATAATTATATAAATGAAATGAAACTCAAATCTCTAAGATGATATGAAAGAATAAGAGATATGGAATGAGTGATCAAATGATCGAGGACTTGAATAGTCTAGAATAAAACTCTTCAATGCTCTCAATAGTTGTGTATATATAACAAAAGCTGCAGGCCCTATTTATAAAGAGAGGAACGTAATATAGGTGTTGGGGATGAGGTGTGAATAGTCCAAGTTTGTAGGTAGCCGTTTGATTTGAAATTGACGCTGTGTCGGTCGGCTGATGGAGTGTCTTCTGTCGGCCGAAAATCTCTTGTCAACCAGCTGATCCCCAATCATCGGTCAGCTGAAACGATGGTTGAAATACACCAACTCTCTGTTTTCATGAAAGCTTCTTGTTGGTCGACTGATGACTCTCTGGAATATATTTTTCGTGAAACCTTTATCAGTCGGCTGAACCTTCATGTTCGGTCGGCCGAAACGTTTGTTAGCCAAAACCTAACTCTCTATTTTCTATATTAGCCGGTTGGTGCTTATATTCAGTTGGCCGAAAATCCTTGAATGTGAACCTCCTTCTCTATTTCTTTGTGCTGGGCTTTCAAAGTCATATTATTGACCATATGTGATGCCATTTAAACCTTGAAATGAGGAATGAATGATCCTAAGATATGAGATTCATAAAATTCATAAATTATTTTAACATTTAAATCTAACCCCATTTGAATCGCCGGTCTTAATTACTTTTCTTCTCCATGTTTCATCTTTGAAGCTTGGGATTGAATGACTTGTCTTCTTTTATCCTTGGAGTGCATGGAATGGAACTTGCTTGGCTCATTCTTGCCTTTGATTTCTTCTCCATTTGGACTTCAACTGATTTATCTGTCATATGATCTTAATGCAAATATTAATCCTTAAAACATCATTAATGTTTTGTTATCATCAAAATTAATCTTAGGGTTAACAATTAGTATGTTCTAACTCAAAATATATGTTTTAAAAGAAGGAAGGAGAACAAAATAAATAAAAAATTACTATAATGAGATTTTCTTGTCTTAGGAAGTTAAGTAACGTTGTACCATTAGGGAAATCTTCCATTTTTGTGTTTGGAGATATGAAGGAAGGTAATGTGAATAGAATTTGAAGGAATTTAGTTAAAGAATTTTAACCTTAAGAGATGAGGACAATTATGGTATTAAAAATTATGACAACCAAACATTGTATAGGTTGTGGACTCTTTTGTAATTTCATCTTAGGAGAGAGAAGAAATGGAACGCCAAAGGATAATAGTGGAGGCCAATATAGCTCTCAAAAAAAAAAAAAAAAAAAAAAAAATCAATTAATATGACAAATATTGATTGTTCAAATTAAGGAGCAAAGCAGGGAAAAATAAATGCAAAACAATATGGTAAACCAGTGAGTATAAGAATATAAATACTTCACCAATATAAGAACTAGAACAATGTTTGGTGTACGTCTTAGTATTTTGAAAGCAATGCATGAAAATTACATCAATTGGCTTCATAAATTTCGGTAAAAATTTAAAAAAGAAGAGAAAAAAAAATATAGGAAAAAAAAAGGAAAGAAAATGCAAAACTTTGAAAGGAAATAAATTAGAGTTGAGTAATGATAGACAAAGCCAAACAGAAAACGCAAAAACTCTCTGGAATCTGATTTGGTTAAGCCATGAATCACTCTTATGTTATATAGTTGAAAGGGAAAAAAGAAAAGTAACCAAAATATATATATATATATAAATATATATATATATAAAAAAAAAAAAAAAAAAAAAAAAAAAAAAAAAAAAACCGCGCTTCTTCTTTCCCCCTCACAAACAGAAAACTAAAAACAACTCTCCATCTTCCTCATTACCAAAATCCTAAATAATACATAATAGAGTATAAATAATAATACTGTATTTGTTTTATTAAAATCAATAGTTAAAATGATTTGATAGATTCAAATTGTATAGTTCAAATTTTAACTTTGTAAGATCTGATTAGTTATTTTTTCTTTTGCCAATACATAACAAAGTATAAATAATATTGTATTTATTTTGTTAAAACCAATAGTATTAAATCAAATCATTTAACTATTGGTTTTAACAAAACAAATCATTTTTATTTTATAGTATTAAATCAAATCATTTTAATTATTTTAACTATTGATTTTAGCAAAACAAATATAGTATTATTTATACTCTGTTATGTATTGCAATTTAGGATTTTGGTAACAGATAAGAAGGAGAGTTTTTAGTTTCCTATTTGTGAGGGAAAAGACGAAGCACTGTTTTTTTTTTTTCTTTCCTTTTTCCCTTTTCAATTTTTTAACTCACTTAGCCAAATCAAATTCAAATTGGGAGAGTTTTTGCATTTTCTCTTTCGCGTTGTCTATCATTACTCGTTAGAGGAGAGTTTTTGCATTTTCTCTTTCGCGTTGTCTATCATTACTCGTTAGAGTTTGATTGAAGAAGGACAATTTAACTATTTTTTAAAAAAAATAAAAAAAATTTGAAGAGTAAAAGAGAGAAGAAAGAAAAAATTTAAAAGATGATTTTAGAA